TGGCTACTCCGGCTACTCCTATGGAAGCAATCACGACGACGGATTTACGATCTTTCTGGAGGATGCGGAGGCCAAACAGCTTGTTTACGAGCATGCGAAGAAGGTCAATGCTTTGAACAAGAAGTGAGATGTTGCACTGTTTGGTTTGGCTCGCGCTTGTCTCGCAGCAAACACTTAGTGCCGTATGCACTAGAGCTCTATCTTCCTGCAAAAAGCGTATGTTTGTCCGGTAATGCGTCAGAACTGAGTGGTGTCTTTATGCGAATTGGTTCGGTTTGCGGAGTGTTCCCACAATGTATATAGTCGAATTCTTTCACTTCCTCCCCACGCCACCCATTATTTCGTTCGACATCGTGCGCTGAAAATGGTACAGCAATATACTTCATTGTTTCGAACTACACCAACGTGTTTCTTCGATCCTGCCAAGACGATTAGGTTGCACTCCCCTTCCGTCCGACTACACCACACTAGCTTCCGCTACTACAGCCGCCTGAATCTACACTGTCCTAGGCCTATTATTTTACACCTATTCTCAGGCCATCTCACACACAACCTCAAGTCAGCCACCCGATTCTGTCGACGATGTGCGGCTTCACATGCATTACATACAGCGAGTGCGCCCACACCGCGCTCTCAACGAAGCCCGAGCACACCTCTCTTTGCTTTAACGCGAAAGAAATACATTTGGTCCAAGGCGTCGACTGTGCACCTGCGAACTGTGTCCCGACTGATGACACAGAAACCCCGATTGCCGCTGAGAATACTGTCTTTGATTACTGCGATGACTGCCGAGCCGAAGCACGCGCTGCTAAACCGATTGAGCGCGGCGAAATGGACGACATCGTCCAGGCTCATGCGCACGTAAAAGATGGGGACCTAGGCGTTTATGATGAAGACGAGAATGAGCAGCTGCAAGATTTAGCCACCTACCTCGATACAAAGCATGCTGTTGGCCTGGAGATTGTCCCACAGCTCAAAGCTTTACCATCAAATCCGCTTGCGCTCTCGCATATCACAGACCCCGAGCTTCGCGCCCTTCTGTGTGCACCAGACGTGGAAAAACACTTCACTACTTTCAATTACTGCTCAGAACTCTTTCCAGTCATGGGCAGCTACATCCAACAGCTCGCTCCAAACAAGGTGTTCGTAGAGACATTCGTGTACCTGCGCGACAAGGCGAAGAAAGCAACGACATTACTAGAGTGTTTCCAAATCGTTCTCGAGTGCGTCCTCAACTATGAGCCCTCCCGACCGGAAGAACACTTCAACGGTAGCGAAGCCCGATTGGAGTTCTTTGGCGATATGCTCAAGTGTATGATCACCGATAGGGATCTTGAAGTCCCTCCGATCGCCTTCCATTTCCATGAGAACAGTTTCGCAGTTCCCGACGCCACCCTTCAGCAGCTTGAAGCGGATCAAGACGTGTCGCAAGCTTATACAGAGAAACAGGAGGAGAACTCGCAGACGAAACCATCGCGGAAGGAGCGTGGCATCCTGAACATACATCACCTGGCGTTTGATCCGGAGTCACTGAAAGGACTACTAGATGACGAACCGTCCCGTGACATCGAGGCAGTACATGTCGCGTTTTCGGAAGACGAGAATGCTGTGGGTATAGACGTGGAGGACGAGCAGGGTAACAAGCTCGTTTGGAGAGATGGCAAGTCGCATATCATCTTCGCTGTTACCAAAGCTGAAGACAAGACTGCTGTCAAAGAGATGAACGAGCAACCGACAAAGCCTAAAGATGAGCTTCAGACTGAGCCAACGAAGACGCCAAACCAAATAAAGGGCGGCTTTGGTTTCTATTACTCAGATGAAGAAGATGATACACTCGTTCAGACTGAAGAGGAAACTAAGGGTATTGCGGTCGAGGACAAGGACATCTCTTCAGACCCGTCTCCTTACCTATGCATACCCTCCTCCCCACCCGTATCGGTCGCAGAGTGTTCATTCCAGTCTCCTTCATCCAGTACGTCTAATCCATCCTCACCATCCCTTCCAGCTCTTCCGAACAAACGCGAGAACGAAAGCGCGGAAGCAAGTCAACCCAACAGTGGTTCCTCCTCACCATCGTCTCGTAAGCGCAAGTCGTTATCAAGCAAGTCAAGCGAAGACAACAAAGGCATCAGCAGTGACGAGGAAGAAGACAAACAACACTCCGACCCTCCCATGAAGCGAAGCTGCAGGACCAGTCTATCATCCGATTCTTCATCTTCACGATCTACGACGCCCCTAGAAGCGAAAATGCGCACTTCTCCAGCAACGCCAGCATCACCGTTAGCGGACCTACCTCCTCTACCATCTTCGCCTGCATCTCCAGATAGTTCGTCGTTGTCTTCTGTATCGTCTTATGTGAACTCCACATCATCGTCTCAGTCGCCTCCTGCACCCCTTCCGCCGCAGCCAACGACACCACAGTACCGCATGCAGACGCGTGCTATGACACGCAGTGCAAGTACCACACCGGTGCCTCCGGATGCGGCATCTACGAGAGCAACGCGTTCATCGAGGAAGTGATGAGAGGGAAAGAGCCAGCATAAGAGACAGAGGGGGCTGATGAGATGGATGGAACTGGGGGAGAAGAGGGGAACGAGAAAGAACAAGGCCAGATCTCAGGAAACTGCATAGGAGATATTCGAGCGGCTTGAGGTCTCGTAGATCAGTGTTGTTGTACAGGCTTCCGTCGACAGTTATTGTGTGTTTTGTTACGACTAGTTTCAAGACTATTTCATCCCTTTAGTCAACAAGAGTTTCCAAATATGTGGGCGCGGAAGTTGTGACAAAATTAACGAATTCGTATTCAAGAAGAACGGAAAAGCTTTTGTGGGTATCAAACGACTCACTACGCCTCGGCTAAACCATGCGCATGTATTAGATATGGTGCCGCATGCTCCATAATGACAAGCGTACGCAAGCGCGACGAAACACGATACACGTTGCAGACGTAGCTCATTCAGAGTCGTCACCTCCGCTGTCGCCGCTCTTATCATCCTCCTCGTCTTCCGACCCGCCCTGGACATCGTCGTCATCATCGTCATCGTCATCGTCGTTATCATCGCCGCCAGCCTCTTCCTCGCTGTCATCTTCCAATACAACCTTCTGCTGTGGTACAGGTTTTGCTGCTGCCCTTCGGCTGGGACGACCCGTAGCTGTGACTTCACTGGCCTTTCCCCACGCCGCTTCACCCTCTTTGATTGCCTCGAGGTCTTTCGCGAACTCCCTCTGCTCCTTGATCTTGGCTGCCTTTTCAACTGAGTATTTGCCATCCATGCCCACATCCTTCAGCCAGCCCTTGAGCACGCGGATCTTGTCCTTCGATGTGTCGCACTGGGACAGTTCGGGGTCGCGCGACCAGACTTTTCGGATGCCGCACTTCACGAGCCAGCCTTGGAGTCGCTTGACTTCGGCGGTGTCGGGATCGTCCTCGGTCTTCGCTTTGGGCGCGGCTTTCGGTTTCGCCAGGGCCTTTTCCTTTTTGCCCTTTGCCGCAGGGGCTTTCTTTTTCTTCTTGGGCTCTTCGTCTATGACGCTGGACAGATCACTGTCAGATACGTCGCCCTTTGTGTCTACCTTCTTCGCTGGCTCGGGTTCGACGTCGCTCTCATCGTCGACCGCGGCGCCGGGTCTGGACGTCGGCTTCGGGGAATCCTCCTCGTCTGAGTCTTCCGTCACAGTCTTCTTCCCCCGCCGTACTAGCTTCTTAGGTGGCTCGCTTTCTGCATCGGATATCTCGGCTGGTGGTTCTGAGAGCTCAGCTTCAGATTCTTCGGACTCGGTCTTCGCGCGCTTCTTGGGTTTCTTGGCAGGTGCCGCAGCCTTGCGCTTGGTGCCTCTGGCATTCTCGGTGGCAGCTTTGGTCTTCTTTTCGGCGGGCTTCGCTTTGGGTTTGGGGGCGGCTTTTTTGGGAGTAGGCTGTGGTGATGGCTCATCGGAGCAGAACTTCTCCTATATATTTTTAGTACCTGGTCAGGAATTGGAAGTCGGACTTCATACCACTGCATCTACAATGACTTTCTGCGATTTCTCTTTCCATGTCGAGTCTGTCTTGAAGAAGCCCTCGTCTAGGGCTAGTTCCTTCTCTGCGCGCGCCCGAACGCGCTTCACAGTCAGATCCTCGCTTTTTCCAGATTTGTGGATCGCGATGACAATGTCGCGCAGTTTGTTCGAAATGTTCGCCTCGGAGGGCCGGTCTGCTTCGGAATCCGACATGATGGGCGGCGCGTTCGTAGATGGTGTTGATGATCGACGGCCGTACGCGATAGACGCGGCGGTTAGGGCAGGCACGTCGCCGGTAGCGTACACGTGACTCCGCGGAGAGACCCAATGGCGTCAAGTGGCATCAGGGCCTGCGGGGGATTTGTCGTGTCGAGCCACGGCGATGTATCAGTTGAATCCCAATCCTTCCTGCTGATTGCATGAATCGCACGGTATTGCCAATGCAGATGCCCATAGATGATGCTGGGCGCCGCCCTTTGACGTCGAGTTGGTCTGTGAGCGCCCCGCGTCTGCTGGGTTGGGCAGCTCCACGACCGACGTCACATTTATTCCCAAGTTTCACACAGACACCGCCAGCTTCATTCAGTGTTTTCCAACGCGGCCTACACCTGTCAGCGACCGAGCTGCATGCCGCCAGTCCCGACCGCCCCTAGCCCCAGTCATCTTTAACTTTAGCATCTGCCCGGGTTGTAACTGCGCCCTGCCGTCTGCCAACTCTGGACGCTTGAGCTCGGAACCTGCGAGAAGCCGCCTCCACCTTCGAGCGGGCCTTGATCTATTATCATTCTTTCGTCACGCCAGCACCACAATTAAAATAACTGATCCCTCCCCCCTCGCGCCAAAGGAAACCTACCCACACCGCCTGCTCACCGGCCCCAGCCACGTTGCGGAGGTGAATGCTGACCTCGCCCAACACCCTACGCCGCAGATAAATTTCCTGTCAGGAGTTTCGCGACTCAACCACCTTACAACCCCCACTATCCAACATACCCACCGCCAAGATGTCTAACGCGCCCACAACCCTCAAGCAGCCCGAGTCGTCGGAGGGACGTCTGCTGCTCGTGTCGAATCGACTGCCCATCACCATCAAGCGCTCCGATGAGGGCAAGTACGACATGTCCATGTCCTCGGGAGGACTGGTCAGCGGCTTGAGCGGACTCTCCAAGACCACCACCTTCCAGTGGTATGGCTGGCCCGGACTTGAAGTCCCCGAGGACGAGACAAAGACCTTGAACGACCAGCTCAAGGAGAAGTACAACGCGGTACCTGTCATGCTCGACGATGAGCTCGCAGACAGGCATTACAACGGATTCTCAAGTGAGATAACCCTTGTAGAACCATATCGCTGCCAGCACTAACGATTGTAGACGAGATCATGTGGCCGCTCTTCCACTACCACCCCGGTGAGATTACCTTCGACGAGTCCGCTTGGGACGCCTACACCGAGGCCAACCGCCTGTTCGCAAAGGCCGTCGCAAAGGATGTACAAGATAACGACATGGTCTGGGTGCACGACTACCACCTGATGCTCATGCCTGCCATGTTGCGCGAGGAGCTCGGCAACACCAAGAAGAATGTCAAGATTGGGTTCTTCCTGCACACACCTTTCCCCAGTTCGGAGATCTACCGAATCCTCCCCGTCCGCAATGAGATCCTGCTCGGCGTTCTCCACTGCGACCTCATTGGCTTCCACACATACGACTATGCTCGTCATTTCCTGAGCAGTTGCTCGCGCATCCTGTAGGTATCAACCTAGTGGCGTAATTCGCACTTGCTAACTCAGACCAGGGGACTCGCCACAACACCAAACGGAGTCGAGTTCAAGGGCAAGGTCGTTACTGTCGGCGCTTTCCCCATCGGTATCGATCCCGAGAAGTTCGACGAGGGTCTCCAGAAGCCCAAGGTACAAGAGCGGATAGCAGCCCTCGAGAAGAAGTTCCAGGGTGTGAAGCTCATCGTTGGTGTTGATCGGCTCGACTACATCAAGGGTGTACCACAGAAGCTGCACGCTCTTGAGGTGTTCCTCACAGAGCACCCCGAGTGGATCGGGAAGGTCGTACTTGTACAAGTCGCCGTTCCTTCTCGGCAAGACGTCGAGGAGTACCAGAACCTCCGTGCAGTCGTCAATGAGCTTGTTGGTCGCATCAACGGCAAGTTCGGCACTATCGAGTTCATGCCTATCCACTTCATGCACAAGTCGGTCTCTTTCGACGAGCTTATCGCGCTCTACGCTGTCTCAGATGTCTGTCTCGTGTCTTCGACACGTGACGGTATGAACCTGGTGTCCTACGAGTACATCGCGACACAGGAGAAACGACACGGTGTCATGATCTTGTCCGAGTTCACTGGTGCTGCACAGAGCTTGAACGGCAGTCTTATCGTCAACCCATGGAACACCGAAGAGTTGGCGGATGCTATTCATGACGCAGTCACCATGGGCGATGAGCAACGCAGTCTGAACTACCAGAAGCTGTCCAAATACGTCCGGAAATACACTAGGTAAGTACCCACGATCGCATCTCGACTGGCACGTTCTAACTTCACATAGCGCATGGTGGGGCGAGTCGTTTGTCACCGAACTTAGAAGGATCTCGGAGACGCCAGACCGCAAAGTACACTTCGCTAACGCTCCGGTTGCGGGAGTTGATGACTCTACAAAGACTGCTGGTGAGACGAGCTCAGAGCTACCGATTCGTCAGGAGACCGGCAACAAGGACAAAGAGTCAGACCCGGCCGCTGCCGTCGATGCTCAAAAGGAGACTACGGACGGCGCATCTAGCCAATAGGCCCTGTGCCCTGCGGTGAGCACCTCTGATTATTACGACGGATGATTTCATGTGACGAAAGTTCGGCGTGATGGATTCGCTTGGGTTAGACGATTGATGAAGGTTCCAATTCTCACAGTACCCCCTCAATTACTAGATCTTCTTACCTAGAAGCTGTAGTGGAAACATCACTGCAGTAACAATATACCCCTTCTACACACGACCTTGTTCTTTGTACTCTGATCGTGACTGTTTTGTTCCGCGAGTGAGTTTGTACTTTCGTGGGAAAATAGTATGCGAGAGCGTGGGATGTGCCTGCCTCCGAAAGTCCCTGCCAAGCCATTAGCGCGTCATCATGCGCTTTCGCAAACCTCACACCCAATTTCGCGTCTTCTGCGTCCCCAACCCCCATCACGCCGACAGAAGACCTCACCGATAAGTTCGGAAACGATTGGTAACGAATTTGATTTTACGCGTCAATACGAGTCAGTCTTTGATGTTGACGCGCAAAACACAATCATGAGAAACCACAATGGAGCGACTCGCGTCTTTTATTAGGAGTCTGACACCGACATGACCGGATATCAGCAGTCGACGTACTCAGCACCGACTATCTACCACTCAGTCATAGCGCCAGAAAGCTCAAGCTCTACGAGTCGAACAACGCGTACGTGTGCAACTGTTGCGTTAACTCAGAAGAAACGCCAGACGCTCCTTCCAGATAGTACCAGTCCCCTCAAATACCGACATTCACTGCCATCACAAACGCCAAGTCACCGCATGCGCTACCATCATCACTTCTGCTTGAACATCGATGCCTCCCATCCATACGCACGCGCTAGTCGACGTCCATACCGTCTGGCCAACGCCAATGGCACTTCCCCGCTCGGATGAGGTTCGTGGAACTGGATACCGCGTGGCAAGTTCAGCTTCTTCGGTGTGAATTGCCACGCAGACCCGTGTAGCTTCTCGACGGCGAACCCAAGCTTGGTGAGCGTAGTCACAAGCTGGTCCCAGCGGATTTTGCCTGGAGGCTCGCTGTCGTTTGGCACATGGAAAAGCGCCTTGATTACGACATACGCGTCTTTTCCAACGTGGTACAACGGTTTCGACACGGCCACTGATTGCTCTTGTGCATTCTGATCGACGCCCACATCCTTGGCCCTGACAATCATCGGGCCATGTTTCTTCGCTTTGGTTTTCCCTGCGACCGCGAAACGATCGAACTTTCCGGTGATTTCTTTCTTCCGATCATGAAAGATCTCGGACATAGGCTGATACTGAAACGTGATGGGTGATGTTTGCAACTCATCATTATCTTCCGGATCATGCCACGGAGCTGTCCTTCGCATCGGACCACCTTCATCAAAAAGTCTGCGAATAGTGGCATGTTGAGAATAGCCTGTGAGCTTGCGGAAAGAGTTATCGATAGACCTCCAAAACCTATCCAGGTTGCGTTCCGCCTTCCGGCGTGTTTCGACGGCCGGTTTTGTGCGGAGGGTTTCGCTGAGATGGTCGAATTTTCCTTCGCTCGGTTCTCCGAGATCAGGAGCGACCCATTCCCTGCGACCATGTTCTACCATGTCCAGCCAGCCATCAAGGGTCTCCAAAAAACCTTGGATCTGTACAGGGATGACGATATTTTCCTCCAAATAGTCGAAAGACGGGCTCACTTTAGCAGAGCAGGAGGACACTCGTAGTTGATAGAGGCATTGAACGCTGATCGACAGTTTAGTCAAAGACTCCTCGATCAAGGGTGATAGCTTGGCTCTTGCCGAGGTCTCTCGTTCACAGTATGTCTCGAGGCAGTCCAGATAGTAGTGGGAGCTGTCGACCAATGTATCCTCTGTGATCACTCGGCCCAAAAGTTTCAGCACCCGGCTACCAACGACATCATCAGTCGTGACCAGCATAGCTGTGTAATCGGATGTTCCTTTTTTGGGTTCCCTGACATAGAGGTGACGCAGTTTGGCGCCCCCATCGAGAAGTATCGCAGAAATCCCGCGGCTGACTCTTTGCAGCAGAGTAACAAGTAGTACACCACTTTCATAGCTTCAAGATAGCGCTTTGATGTCTCCTCAGTTGTGTCTCCGCTCAATAACGATCTCTGGAGAGCTTCAAGTCTCAGCGATTCTTGATGGAGCTGATCCCAGGTGATAAGACTACCGTACGCGGTAGATAGAACCTCGCGAAGGACGCGGGAGTTGAAGTTCGTGGTTGCAAGCCTCTCGGATGGCTCTCCGGCCTTGTTGAGTAAATTCTCATGATGATGATCTGCATAGTCCTGTATAGTTTCCGCGAAATACGCAGGGTCCTCGCGTAAGGCCCAGGCATGATCTTTGATACTGCCCAGTACTGTTGAGATCAGATGTCGGATGCGCGTACAATCCGGCATACCACGTGCGCAGTATGCCGCCTTCATGCCTGCATCTGTGAGGACACTGCTCACGTTTTCTTGAAATGACAAGCTTGGTGGCACGAATGTGGTCGCGTTCATGCTAGCTATAAGCATGTCTTGGGGGACGTCATGCATGATGTTGAAACAGCAGCTAACGAGGAACCACAGAAGACCAGATTGAATGCGAAGGATCTGCAAGCCGATTCCCAGGAAATATATGGGCGGCACCTCATTGACAGCGACGCATTGGGATCCCCTTGGGTCCACAACGCGGCCATACAACTTTTCTTTGTACTCTTGTGTTTCGGGGTCCTGATCCGAGAAAGATATGCCGGGAAGCGCAAGTTGGTTGCTGTTCGATGGTGCAGCCAATGGTGAAAAGCTGAGTTCGGATGAAGTGAACGTAGCGGGACGGTTGAGGGCGCGGGCTTTGATGATATCGAGCAAAGACTTCGCGTCTGACAGGTCTTCCAAGTTGATATAAGGCCACAGCTCGCTGCTACGTGGTCGCTGGGTGGCTCCGCATGAGCAACTGTTGCAGCGACAGTAGAAGTGCGGATCCTCCATTTCAGGGCGATGTGTCGCGGGAATACCGGGGAGTATGGTGCAAAGCAGCTCTCGACGCTTCGCTGGCGACCTCTTCTTCCACCGAGCTGATATGGAGTCCCCATGTAGCTTCTCGATCACGTTGAGCCAATGCCAATCCCCAGCGATGAGGTTGCTTAGCTTTCTAGCTGTTTCGTTCACCAACTCCATCGGCAAGTTGAGCTCGGCGTCATCGGCTGCCAGAATTTCAAGGATGATGTCGACATCATGCAATCGATCGAGTCTAGGGCGCCGTCAGTGTCCTGAGGGCGATATGAAGAAGACAACCTACTTGGTTCCGGTACTGGCCTGTATAGCATCGGTGCGATCAGTGTAGTGTACTCGCTGGTGGTCGTGCGCCGCCATTGGAATACTCTCATCCATGCTTGCGGTGGAGGAGTGGGTGTAGAGTTTTCTAATTGAGTTCGTCCGCAAACGCAATGAGTGCGGCGCTATGACCACCAGTAGCTTGTCGGGGTGAAGCGCAATTTGCGCGTGTGTGCATCGATGAGACTAGATGAGACTACTGGACAAGCCAGCCTGAAATTTCAAAACCCCACATATTCAGTATGTGTTGGTATATCGTGGGGTATCATCATAGTCATGTGCCGTCACGTCTGTTTAGTGGACTACTTCGTGTCTTTCCCTCTATCAGTCACTGTTCTGCTCCCTCCTTCTGCATATTACGCGCATAATTGAAAACTGGACCTCTCATATTAGCTGTACGCTTAGGCGCTCTTCTCCCAAACGCTTGTAGTTCAAATTCGCATAGGCTGTTCTGATAGCGGTCAGACGTTCGTCTTATTTGTCTGCAAGTACTCTCGTGTCACACCTGAGCAACACGGGTGTACACGCCATCTGAAGAAAAATATCTACATAGGAATTGTTTTATCATCTATTGGCTAACATGCTCAAGTTGACTTGTCTGCTCGTTGTAATATTATCGGGCAATTTGATACTGGAATGCATCATCATGCATGGGTATAGTATGATTTGCGGAAGTCGTGAGTGGCTGATCGTGGCCATTATGCGTTAGCAAAGTACCCTTAGCTATAGTCTATTCAGATTGATGGCATCTCACACACTCTCGATTGAGCTACACAAGTAACGCAGGCAAAATAATGCCCAGGTGACGTACCTGATGGCTCCCACTTCCTCACCTCCCGCCGCGCCTCCCAAGTGAAAGGTGCGCTCTTTCCCCTCCGGTCCTGCACCCACCTTTATTTAGCATTACCAGCTCCCCCTACTGACCTTCTACACCACTCATCCACTTTCTCCACATCTCCACCATGAAGTACCTTAGTATCATCATCATCACGAATCTAAGCGTAAGCGCCCTCAGCTCCGCCGTACCTCATGGCGTACCCCCCGACTGCACCCATCGTAACAACGGCGCCTGCGTCGCCTCGCCCGCACAGTGCACAGAAGGCGAACTACAATGCCTCACTACCCTCCATAGTGGCTAAGACGGCATAAACATTTGCGAGCATGGAAAGTGGGAGGCGCGCGATACATGTCGCTGCACCGATAAGCCATCACCTCAGTGCATCGACTCTGCGCTCTCTTCTCGCGACAATACCTTAAGCCGCCGGTGCGAGGAAGGCGTCCCGAAGTGTATATTGCGGGAGAACAACGGGAACGGAGGCGTGCTCTTCAGGTGCAAGAACGGGTTCTGGAAAACTGCTATGCGTTGTCGGTCTTCTGAGCGTTGTCATGATGGGGAGCTGGCTACTTGTTCGTGGCGTCGTGCAGCTTAGGGGATGGAAAGGGGAGATTTCTTGGCTGTTGTCGTCGCTGAGGTCGGAGAGCTGGGTACTACTATACGCTCTGAGAGTCATAGCTGTGGGCAGGTCACAAACGGACGAGACGAATGACCGCTTTATCACTTTATTGTATTCTTAAGACTTCACTATCAACAGGAATGGAAGCATGCTATCACCATCTCGAGGTATCGCTACATCTCACCACTCTTCAAACGCCGTCAACACCTGCTCATTGCATACAACCCACCATCTACATGTTCGCCAACAGGTACCTCAATCCAGCCCACATCTCTTCACCACTGGGCAAGATCTGCGCAGCGGGCAGGACGAATCCATAGTTGCCCGTATCCCTCAACTCAACAGTCATGGAATAATTTGCCTTGGCAACCTCGAAAGCATAGTCAACAGAGTCGCCGCTGACCTGGTAAATGGTGTTGCAGATAGGGCCACCTGTGAACGTGGTTCCGTGCACAGCCTTGACAGCGGCGATGGCGCCCTTGGTGAGGGAAGCATACTTCGAGGAGTTGGGGACGACACCAGAGCATGTGTATCCGTATGGGTACATCCAAAGCTGGCTGTATGCGTGGATGTCCATGTACAGCGCGATTCCGCGGCCAGCGGCTAGGCTGTCAAGTTGGGCCTTGAGGAGCTTAGTCTCTACACCGTCGCCTGCAGACGGGCCCTTGTAATCTTGAGCGCAGGGAGAGGTCGAAGCGCCTTGGGGTAGGTCCCAGTGGGATGGCCAGTTGCGGTTGATGTCGCGGCCTACGCATGACGCGGAGGGAGTGGTCTGACGGTTCTTGCGCCACAGACGATCGGCTGACTGGGTGTAGGCGAAGCCATCTGGGTTCACGATGGGGAAGATGTAGAAATCGTACGAGTTCTTGAATCCAGCCGTGGTGGAGTCGGTGGATGTGAGGAGCTGGTACGCCGCGTACTCAACGACCATTGTTGTGATCCATTCTCGTGCGTGCACAGTTCCGTGCCAGACTACAGCTCTCTTGGATCCTTTGCCGCCGCTGCCCCAGATGTGGATACCCTTGATGTCGCGGCCTTCAACCGATTTGCCAGCAGAGACTACTTCAGCGTTCTTTGGGTACGCCGCGGCAAGGTCCGTGATCCATTGCATATGATCGGCAATCGAGTGGTACGCGTTGAACCAGGAGGCACTTGGTGCTGCACCGGCTGATCATCGTTAGCACAAGTTTTAGATCTCCCCTGGAGCCTACGTTGCCGCTAGATCTTGAACTCTGCGAAATCGCAAGACAATGTAGACTCCTGGCTTGTTTTTCCTTGCATGAAACATATCCAACGTACCGGCATATATGCTGACAGTCTGCTCGTCTGCGATCGAACGGCCAAGATTGTCGTGCATGACCTTGGTCTATCCAGTTGTTAGTGTCAAAAAACGATCGTAGCTACGAGGCCACATACTGTCAAAAAGTTAGTTAAATATTCTCAAAAGTACTCGTGGCGGCTACTTTACCCTCTATATCCTTCGTAGACGCCTCGAAGTCCTTGACTGCCGAAGGTGGCACCATAACGTCGACCACATCACTAGATGTCGGCTTGCCCTTCCACAAGTCAAGTGAAAGCTTGCTCATGACATCGTCGATTTTGGCAGCGTTGGCACCGACATTGACGCGGTACACCTTCCAGTCATCGTAGTTGATCTTCTTCGTGTTGACTGTGGCAGCAGACGCTAGGCCTAAAGAGGCAAGGGCGATGTTGAGGAGCTTCATGGTGTGTAGAGATGAGGGAGAGGCGTAAGGAGGGACTCCAGTTGAAAGCACCAACTGCGCTACCTATATATTCAGTGGTAGACCAGATGATATCGCGAAGCCCTGCTCTATACCGGCACTAAATGGTTAGCCCCGGCTCCTCCAATGCAGATGCGGAAGGTCGTCAAAGATCCCCAGATTCGCGCCGACCCGGTCACTAGCACTATGAACGGAAGGAACGAAACAGGTGCTGCAGACTACATTAGTATGAAAACCAAAGTTTAGGTGATCCCTAGAGTAATGTAGACTCCTAGGCCATCGTTTTGTTTGATTTCTGATTTGAATGGGGCCGACAAATCAACGTCACCATATACCCAACCGACCAAAGAACAAAGTAATTGTAATCGGACCACCACGAGGCGAGCACGACCACAAGAAGATCCTTGAATCGGGTGCTGCTAAATTAGAGACGGAGACGATCATAAAAACACCAATGCGCGACCATTCGTTGACGGTGAACCTTGGCGTTTACGTGCCTACTGGTTTAGGCAGTTGGCTGGCTATGGCGGTTTGGTCCCCTGCTGATCCGTCTAGGCGCATGATGCTTGGGTCGCCTTCGAGCTTATCGTGGCCTTGGGATATTAATTACCATCGCAATGGAAACAGCTTCCTGGGCGAGCCTTTGCTCCGTGGGAGATTAATGCCAGTCGGGCAGGTGGGCTGCGGAGGCGCTATTACCATTGAACGCGGTGTGTTTGCTGTAGAGTGTGAGTGGTCATCTGGTGGACTGTATAATCGACTCCACATCGTGGTTGTGTATTGAGCCATCAAGTCATGTGTAACGAGATGGAAAGGTTGTGCAGGAACAGTGAAGCGTTCCGAGGTTCGCTGTGGCGGGGCGGGGTGCACGTGTTGTCTTGGCGGCGATCATGGCAATGCCATGGAGCGCAACGATCGTTCGTGTTTCTATCCTGCACATCGATTCAGGTCATCCTAATGAAAACTAAATACCCTAGAGCCTACGTTAACGTTAGATTACCTACTTTACAGGTTTTTGTCTTAATGTAGTCCGCAGACCTGTTCAGTTTTCTTTTCGTGTACAAGGTGGATTGAGGCATCTTGGAGTATGGAGATGTCGACGCGCACCCTACTCCGTTCGCTCCTTCAAGCTCTAGCGGGTAGACCAACCAAGAACGTGCCATACTGGACGAATCGCTATGGCCTTCGTTGTAATCGTTCCAAGATTCGCCAAAGAATGGCTGTGGGGAAAATTATGTATACGCGAAACATGGTAGAGCCACCGCAAAAACTGAACATGATCTTGGCTAATTGTCACTCTTCGTCGCATTTCTTTCACGCAACGCTCTTCCCCTTTTCCTCAGACTCCCTCTCATCATCCACGATCCCACATCTTCGCCATGTCATCACTACTAATAAACGCCGCGTGCGCGTTACCGACCTACGTACAGATGGTAATACGGCCGACACCTTCACAAGAGCCCAGCGTAAAGATATTCCACACCTTCTACATGCTGGTACCACTGTGCTTGTGGACCGTATACTGCCAAGAGCGCTTGGTCAATTTGATCGTGGGAGAAAGACAAGGTGGAATAACGACGAACTTCAAACACTTTGTCGCATGGTGGCTGGTGTACTACTTGGTATACTTCATGGCGTGGAGCCCGACGCTGCTTTATATATACTTGCCCGTTTTGTCTGAGTTAGGTGTTAGATGGTCTATTTGACCTTCTTTCGGACCTCAAGCGGCTGCGAAAACCGCATTGGTGCTTTCCGACAGCATTCCCGATTAGTCGACCCTTTACTCTCTCTTCAGTCCGACCCTACCCGCCTTCCTCAATCCCACGACAGCGATCATCATACAAACGACCATATACCCGAA